AAATTGGTGTTACTGTAACTGTATGCATTTTGTATCAAAGCAACAAGAAATGTGTTAATTGTATAGCCTACAAAGACGGATGTTGTGCTAACCATGTTAAGAGTTTAGGAAACTTGTTAAATGTTTTGAAAAAACTGTCATAGCGATTGTAAAAAACTGTAAGCTCCTAGAAGCAGGACTGAAGTCCCATATAGCAAGGCTGAAGTCCTTCATCAATGAGAGGCAGAGCAGTGCCAGACTGGAGTTTGCAAAAAGATTATTTTACACTGGAGCATACCCATAAACTGAGAATTTTGCTGTGGTCTGTTAATTTTTCCAGAGCTGTATATTTGGCTTTTTCCATTGGACAATCTCTTATGTTTACTCTCCTCTAGATGACAGATTTATGTTCTAGCTTTAAAATAGGACTGGCTGTTTGAAATTCCTGCCATAAACATTATGGTAACAGCAGCCATTGAGGGCTGAGAGCTGAGGGAGCAAAGAGTCTATTAACAGTAATATATGTGGTTTGGACCCAGTCAGGGGTCACAGAAGATTTAGGGCATGAATCTTTCTGAAGGTCAAGTATAATAAGTGACAGTCTAGATATTTAAGTACAAATCATGGCTGCTTCAATGCACTGCACTGCACCGGTTGATTCAGCCAGAATTGGGTGGGGCACTTCAGCTGGAGATATTCTGCAGCTTCTCATGGTCATGCTGAACACCAGCAACTTTGCATTCTTTTCGTTACACTGTTCTTCTCTTCATTCACCATGTTCTTCTTCTTGGCATTCACATCACTGACAGTCGCTCCTGGTCCAAAAAAAAACACCACAGCAGTTATCAAAAAGGCCCAGCAGTGCATGCATTTCTTTAGGATACTCAGGTAGCATAATCTGCGCAAACGGCTGCCGGTGTCCTTTTACAGAACCACCATGGAGCGCGTCCTAACTGGCAGCACTGCAGTGTGCTATACTGGGTGCCCCGCAGTAGACAAAAAGGCCCTTCAGAGGATCACAAAGACTGCAGAAAAAATTACTGCCTGTCTGCTCCCCGCCGTCAACGTTATTGTGAACAGTCGCATTCTCTCCAGGGCCAACATCATCACGGACTGCTCCCACCTCGGCTACCATCTCTTTGAACTGTTATCTACTGGCAGGCGTTATTGTGCCATCAAATCCAGAACTAACAGATTCACAAATATTTTTTTCCATATGCAGTTACCTACCTTAACATACATAGACAAAGTCTCAAGAACATCTTTCTAAATAGCACTTTATTTCAGCACCTTATCCTGCATTTTCTCTGCCCTTTGAGATGTAATCCTCGTAGCCATTTTTATAGCATGTGTTGTATGTGTACTTTTTAAGGATGTACAGTATGTATGTATTTATTTATGTTGTCTTATGCACTATTTTGGAATTGCATCTTCGGAGTGACAATAAAGGCATTCTTCTTTTTATGAGTCAAAACATTAATTAACACACTGGCTGCTCAAATAAGTATGGCTGTATTTGCATGTTTAGAAAACGCTAATGATTGGTTGTAAGAAACATTAAATACAGAAAGTTAAATACAGAAATACTAGAACTCGTGGCCATAAGTGGAAATTAGCGGGAGAACATTTTAAAACAAATTTGAGGAAGCACTTCTTTACACAGCGTGTAGTTAGAATATGGAATAGTCTTCCTGCTAGTGTAGCGGAAGCTAAAACCCTGGGTTCCTTTAAATCAGAGCTAGATAAGATTTTAACAACTCTGAGCTATTAGTTAAGTTCTCCCCAAATGAGCTTGATGGGCCGAATGGCCTCCTCTCGTTTGTATAGTTCTTATGTTCTTATGTTCTTTTAAGGTGACTGGGCTGGTTTAGCAGGTGGCATTGGAAAACTCCAGTGATTCACATGTAATGACAGCAACATGTCATGTGTTCTGACTCATTGTGCTTTTGCACTTAAGAAAGTGACTGACAGGGTTAAGGTTATGGTAAAGAGACTGTCTCACAGGGTGTTCCACTGGCAGGTTCTATGTGGGACACCTTCTAGGCTGCCTGTGACCCTGTACTGAATAAGTGGTTGATAGATCAATTACATTTAGTTACGTCCCAGTGTTCTATCATTTTGGAGCAGTATTGCTGCCACCTGGTGGCAATGTATAGTCATGGTCCTTGGTTTTTAACTTTTAGGTAACCTTTAGTCTCAGGCTTTTACATTTCTGGCTTATACAATAAAGATAAAATATAATAAAGATTAAATGTCATAGGTGCAGGAAGTATATTCATGGCAGGTCAACCCATTGAGAAGGATGGGCAAAATTTAGTCATACTTTTCTTAAATTAACAAACGGAGAAAGGTCACACTTTGCATGATCAAATTCTATTGATTTTGTCAGATGTCTCCGTACAGACACATTTCGGCTTAATGCTTCCTTCAGTGTGCTGATGATAGTGTGTGCTTCCAGACTTCAAATAGACATACATCCTCCTGGACAGTTTGTGTAATTTTTATAAAATTGAAGCTATCCTTATGAGGATCAGAAAAATGGTCCCCAGAACATCATAATAGGTGTTTATCAAATGTCCCAACAATGTAAAATATACCTGGACCATACACACACACACACACACACACACACACACACACACACACAAACAAACTACTAATAATGAATAATACATAAAATATGCCCTTTTTCCTTTAGATAATCCATGCATATCAATGCTGATCACAGATATCTCCATGCATTTTGACCAATCAGATGGTAGTGACACAACCAGCTCGCTTTGGTTATGCTTTCGACCTGCTAGTAAGCAGAACCACACCAGCTTGGCTATGGCTCAGGAATGGCTCACATATTTCACAATGGAAAACCATCACTTTGCCATACCACTCGGGTACAGCTTGGTACTCGGTAGCAGTGGAAAAGCAGCATAAAAGTTTAAATGTGTGATCGGGTATCTGTGTATTATTTTGGTGCTATTGTGGCACAAATATGATGACCAGCCTACAGAGAACTTGAGATATGAGGAAGTAAACTTTGTCCAGAGGTTGTTAATTATTGCTTAACAATAAGGAAGCACCTTGGAATAACAGTCTGTGAACTTGGGAACTTCCTGTAAACAATGAGATGATTCTCTATAAAGAGCAAAGCAACGGGAGGCATAAGGTGTTTGAAACATGAATATGACAAAGAACGTTCAATGCATCATAGTAAGTGTCTACACTTATTATTTATGATTCAAAATGATACATTTATTTCAAGTAAATTGAATATACAGTACGGTCTTAGGCAGCCAAAGAAATAGATGTTTAGATGATCTTTATATTGGTGCAAAACTGTGCTATTATGCCTGTCAAAGTGTGTTAGCTTAGCCATTTCAAAACCTCTGCTAAAATAACCGCAGTATTTGAAGCAACCAATCAATACACCCATGTATTTTTTGACTCAACCACTAGCATTGATTAAGTGAGCTGGTGGTGAAATTTAATAAATACATGGAATGGCTGGGGTGACCCTGAGGAGAGGTTTGGGAACTGAAGCGGTGTCCATCTAGCCTTCCAACTAGATATCAGTAACTTTATGGAGAACAGAAGATATTTTTTGTAGTTTTTATTGTGTTTTTTTATTAGCATATGTTCTAATGCCAAATTGTGTTTTTTGTTCTTAGCAAAAGTATACTTATTACCCAGATAAATAGCTTTAAACATTTCTATTGACTGCCTAAGACTTTTGCAAAGTACTGTGTCTGTGTGTGTATATAATATATATATATTTTTCTCCCATTTTCTAAAGTTAATTACAGGTAAACCTATATATTGAAGTATGGAAGCTGAAGACCGAATAGGAATTCTGAAATTTGTTTTAATGGTTATCAGTGGTATCTTTGTGGTAAGTGAGGGGTGTTTCCTGCTGTTTTGTCTTTTGTCATTGTTCCAGTAAACAGTTGAGTTTTATCTCATTTTATCTCTTTAACACTATGGTCTTTCCATAGTATATTATTAATCAAGGAAAAATAATGGTAGACTTAAGCATTTACCGATTTTATTTTTGGTGTTTGAAATGCTTTTAATATTCCCATTCAGATACTTGGGATCGCCATTTTTGGGTGTGGAGTGTGGATTTTATTTGACAAAAGCAATTTCATTGCAATTATTAGCAATGGTAGGTGTTATTTTCTTCCAGATGCAAGTGCATATAATGAAATAGTGTTATAAAAGATATGATATGAGCTGCTGTTTGTTTTTGGTAGAGGATTCTGTGAGATTCCTTTCTGGGGGGTTTTTTGTTATTGGCCTGGTCGTGGCTGCCATCAGTCTCATTGGGTGCCTCGGAGCATTAAAGGAAGTCAGGTACTTTTTATTACTGGTAAGAAAAAAGACTAAGCAATTGTCAAAAAATGTATAGAATCTGTATAGTACACTTGTGTTTGAATCGGTTTCTTGCACATAAAATACATTACAATACAATACAAAACATACAATGATTCATTCTAAGACAACTACATTTTTTCTTGAAACACTAGTGTCTTATCACATATTGTGTGTATGCATACATACTATATAATCATTGTGCACCTGCCTAGTATACAATGCACTACATAATAGATGTACCCTATTACATGTACATCACCGTTCAAAAGTTTGGGGTCACTTAGAAATTTCCTTGTTTTCCATGAAAACATACATGAGTTTTAATAGGACATACCTGTATAGCTGAATAAACAGCTGAATAGAGTTGAGATATGGTGACTGGGCTGGCCATTCCATTATACACAGAATACCAGCTGACTGGCCATTCCATCATACACAGAATACCAGCTGACTGCTTCTTCCCTAAATACAGTCAGTGACAAAAAAAGTTTATACCCAGATGGAGTGGTGGAAATGAAATGAATCTGCACGTGGTGAAAGGTCATGTGACTGCATCACAATGATTATAATATCAGATCAAATGGACAACAGAGTTGGCAGTATGGACACACTGCTGGTACCATGTCACTAGGGTGTGGCACCTCCCCCCCCAGGCCTGGATACATGCGGCGATACAGTCACTATATGCTCTCCTGCGGCAGGTCGGCCCACAGTTGTTGTGATTGACTCTCGAGCTCCTACAGATTGGCACTGCGTCACTGGGTCTGAGTTGATGTCCGAGCTGATCCCACACATGTTCGATTGGGGAAAGATCGGGGGACCTGGCTGGCCACAGGAGGACCTCAACATGATGCAGGCAGTCCATAGATTCACACGTATGTGGATGGGCATTGTCTTGTTGAAAGACTGTACCAGGGTGCTGTCTCAGGAGGGGTAAGACATGAGGACGCAGGATGTCACTACCGTAGTGCTGTGCTGTCAGGGTCCCCCAAATCACTATCAGAGATGACCTGAAGTCGTACCCTATGGCTCCCCACACCATGATGTCATACCCTATGGCTCCCCACACCATGATGCCAGAAGTAACACCAGAGTGTCTCTCCACAACAACCACCAGGCCTCATGCAAACTCACAATGAAACCCCTATCAAACTCTGTCAATTGCTGGTAATACTAATGCGTCTAATGCGTTTATGAGGCATCAACTGTGTCTGATGACTAGACAGCTCCTTGCAAATCAAATCATTGACACATCCATCAATGGCCTGCACATGTACCAAATTACAACCAAATTGGACCATTACTTCTGGGTGCTTAGCATTTTTTTGTCACTGAGTATGGTTCTTGCATAGTTTGGAGCTGTGTTTGGCTCATTGTCCTGTTGTAGGATGACATTGTCTCCAATTAAACACTGTCCACAGGATATGGCATGGCGTTACAAAATGAAGTGATAACTTTCCTTCTTCAAGATCCCTTTACCATATATAAATCTCTCACCTTACCATCACCAAAGCAGCCCCAGACAATCACATTGCCTCCACCCTGCTTGACAGATGTCATCAAGCACTGCTCCAGCATCTTTCCATTTGATCTGTGTCTCACAAATGTTGTTGTTTGTGAATCGAACATCTCACGCTTAGATTAGTATATCCATTCCACTTTTTTCCAATGTCCCTTTGTCCAGTATCTGTGTTCATTTGTCCATCTCAGTCTTTTCTTTTTATTGGTCATTCTGAGATACAACTTTTTCTTTGCAATTCTGCCTAGAAGGCCAGCATCCCAGAGTTGCATCTTCACCATTGACGTTGAGGCTGGTCTTTTGCAGGTACTATTTAATGAAGCTGCCAGTTGAAGACCTATGAGGTGTCTGTTTCTCAAACTACACACTCTAATATATTTATCCTCTCGCTCGGTTGTGCACTGGGGCCTCCCTCTCCTCTTTCTGTTGTGGTTAGAGCCGGTTTGTGCTGCTCTGTGAAGGCAGTAGTATTGTACATGATCTTCAGTTTCCTGGCAATTTCTTGCATGGAATAGCCTTCATTTATCAGAACAGAGTTTCAGAAGAAAGTTCTTTGTTTCTGATAATTTTGAGCTTGTAATCAAACCCACAATTGATGATGCTGCAGATACTCAACTAGTCCATAGAAGGCCAGTTTTATTGCTTCTGTAATCAGCCCAACAATTTTCAACTGTGGTAATTGCAAAAGGGTTTTCTAATGATCAAATAACCTTTTAAAATGAAAAACTTTCATTAGCAAACACAGGACTAATTTTTGCTGATAACGGGCCTCTGTAGACCTATGTAGATATTCCATTGAAAACAGCTGTGAGAGTCATTTAGTCAACATTAGCAATGTCTACACAGCATTTCTGATCAATCTGATGTTATTCTAATGGACAAAAAAACTTTTTTTCAAAAGCAAGGACATTTCTAAATGACCCTAAACTTCTGAATGGTAATGTAAATATATTTTCATTTATTTCTCTATGTAGCATACTTTTGTATCTAGACTTCATGTATATGTGTGTATAATATGTATAATATACATCTATGATAAAGAAAATGGTTTACTATTAATTGTTTCTGACTTGATCAACATCTTGACTAATACTTTTCCTTTTTAGTACATGGGTGCTTTAATTGTCATCCTCTTAGGTCAAGGTTTACTCACAATTATTCTTCTAATAAAAGGAAAAGAGGTAAGACAAAATTGATCTCCCATCAAAGTGATATATTGGTGCAAATATTTTAAAGTCATAATGTATGCTTTGTTTAGACATACATAATTTACTTCAAATCCATTTAATGAATGTATTACCACCACTGAACTAAACTTACATTAAAGTTTTATTTTCTAGATTACCAAAACATTATCAGACGAAGTTGATAAAATAATTATGGATTATGGTAATGGTACAAACAGGGAAATGGAAATCAAATGGAACATTCTAGACACCATGCAGCTTTATGTACGTACACAATGGTAATTGGTCCACAAATTTATGTGTTCTATAATACAATTTGCTACTTTAATTTTGGTTCCTAAGCCAAGCTTTTTTACCTAGTGGACATGCTGTGGAAGAACCAACTACACTCAGTGGGAAAACAACAGCTACATAAAATCATGCATAGAATGGGAGGTGTATCCCTGCTCATGCTTTAACACCACTAGCTGTCCATTCCTGTCTGAGGACCCCTCCCAGAGGTTTGGTAAAGGCGAAAAGGTGTTTAACGTGGTATGTCAATTATGACAGCTTGAGTTTCAATGTTCTATTACTAAATCAGGAAATGGGTTTTGCTGTATTAAATCAAATTTCCTTTGTTGGGCGGACAGGGCTGCCAGACACACATGGAGGAGTGGATATACCAAAATGGATTGGTGATGCTAGGCATGGACTTAGGACTGGTCCTCATTCAGGTAAAACAAAGTGTAACCTCATGGAAAGAGGCACCTAAGTGCAATAAAAGAAGCCATTGCATATATTTCATCACTATCCGATGCAATATGATTTACTTATCTGTAAGTGTTCAGTTCCCAAACCTCTCCTCAGGGGCACCTCAGCCGTTCCATGATTTTGTTAAATTTCACCATCTGCTCAATTAATTAAAGAAATTGGTTTAAAAAGTCAGTGACAGATTGACTAGCTGTATGAGGTGTGCTAGTGGCCAAGTCAAAAAATACATGGCTGCACTGGACGGTCGCTGCAAATACTGGGATGATTTTAGCAGAGGTTCTGAAATGGCTAAGCTGACACACTTTGACAGGCATAATATAGTTTTACACCAACATGAGGATAATCTGAACATCATTTTCTTTGCCTGCCTAAGACTTTTGCACAGTACTGTATTTGCATAAACTCTGTGCTGAAGTGAAAAATATCAGAGAGCAGTTTGTGGCCCAATACAACTCTAAGTAATTAAACAGAATAAGACCAGTCCTGAATGTACAAACCTGGCTGATAGTTTCTGTAGTGCAATGGAACACAATAAACCAATGCCCTTTCATATATTTTGAGTCTGTTGCGTTTATATTACAAAGCAAAACAACTTATTTTCAGCAGTTACATTTAATTTATTCAAAACATGGCTTTCAGGAATGAAACTAATTGTGTCCCTTTCGCAGGTGTTCTTGATTGTGATCTGTGTCTACTTGTTTCGAAGCTTGGCACAGAAAGCGAAAAGCTAGTGTCCAGAGCTGGGCTGACAGGAGCCGGCGCAGCATTCATGCTGAGAGAAGAAAAATAAAAGCCGTTCTTGACATTTCAAGCTGTAGACTTGACATCAGTTATTCTCCTATTCTTTTATTTACTTTAAATGCAAAATTCCACTATCTATGCTAGTTTAATTACATAATCAATGTAAAATTCATTTTAATTTTGCAATTATCCTGGTTTATAGCAAATGTGGTTGAGTGCAAAAGCAAGATTTAAATGTGTATATCCCCATTTAAAATGCATTGTAAGAATTGAAGTTGTAAGAGAATGGTGTGACGTTTGACCAAAAAGCTGGAATAACAGTGTGGAAATTAAAAATATTTCACGTGCCCTGTGGGGTGCCAGTGCTGAGTGTGGTGGGTGAGAGGTGAGAACCTAGTCTGACATTCTGGGGGCAGTCAGTCAGAAAATCCTTGATTCAGTGGCCGATGGATTGTGAAAATCCTAGATCCATGAGTTGAGGAACCAGTCTGCTCGGAATGACTGTGTTGAAAACAAGGTGTGTTAGTGCAATGTGGAGAGCAGCGGCAATGACATCCTCTGTAGATCTATTTGCTGTGTAGGCAAACTGGTATGGGTGGAAAGTGGGTGGGAGGCTGGTTTTGATGTGCTGCATGACCAGTCTCTCAAATAACTTCATTATGACCGGTGTCAGTGCGACTGGACAATAGTCGTTGGGAGTGCTGATAATGCTCTTTATTGGAAGTGGAATGATTGTGGGAGACTTCATGTAAGGTGAGATGATGGATTTTGACAGTGACAGGTTGAAAATCTTTGTGAAGACTTCAGAGAGCTGGTCTGCACATTCCTTCAGCACCCGTAATGTAGTGTTGTAGTTCTCGAGACCGGTCTTGGTCTCGAGACC